ACAGACCTCTAGTAATCAAATGGGTTTTTTTGCTGGCCATTTCTAGATTTTGTGGTAACAATAAAGTTTTTCTAATAACTGCATTTATTAGATTAATGCCTATTCTGTTGACCTTTGGAGATACTACAGTTTACCAAGAGTCATTAAAATGCAAAAATCTCAATAGTTCATGAAGGGAATTTTCTGATATTTAAATATGTTAGAGAAGAAATTAAAGATACTTGCTTAAACAGAAACAAACTCAGAAAGGTTGTAATTTTTTAACACTGTCCTATGTACAAAAATATTCTACAAATATAGAGAAAAGAAATCCTCCCTACAACTTGTAATAGCCTCTCCCAGAGAAACAGAGGCAGCTGGTATCTCTGACCCCTCCCCGTATGTCACTAATGAGCATTTCCTCAGTCTCCATGAGACTTCCGGAGGAGGACAGGTCAACAGTGATCAAGGTCACTGAAAAGCGCTCATGTAAATTCCTTCCACCTCATGTATGCTGGAGACGTAGGTTAATAATTAATGCTCCTTCATTCAGAAGGGTGGGATGGGAGGAGTTATCTGCAGTGGAAAAAAAAAACATGCAGATCTTCCTTTAAGAAAGTAACACAAGCTCACATGTGACCCATAAGTCAGGAATAAAACTTAATAAACGTGGCAGGATTATTAAGGATCCTTTCCACAGTAGGCTTATTACATAAAATACACTTTGAAGGTCAGCAAGTATTTACACAGCACTTTGTACTGACCTCCAGAAAGTAATTATAACCTTTGTGTCAAACCTCACAAGTGTTTTAAACATCAAAAATGCCATGGGTGATAATAATATTACAATTATAAAGATGTGCGACAGCTGTGGTTGTGTAGGGCCAGCTGATCCCTGTTTCGCCACACCTTGCTCTTTGGCAGAGTCACTGAAAAGCCAGGCATGGTGGCACACACCTGTAATCCCTGAACTCCTGGAGGCTGAGGCAGGAGGATCCCAAGTTCATGCGCAGCCTGGGCAACTTAGTGATAATCGTAAGACCCTGTCTCAAAGTTTTAATTTTAAAAATTCAAAAAGGGCTAAGGATGTCACTCAGTTCTACTGAGTTCATTCCTCAATACAAAAAAAAAAAAAATCTGAGAAATAATTTTGGTTACTCTTACAATGAAGATTCTTTTAGGACTGCATAAGATAAAGTGCGATAATGTATAAAATCGCATTACTTAAATACAGATTATGGGATAGAGCCTCACTTATCATGTTAAGTTTGGTGGAAGAAAAAAAACTGACCACTAATGGGCCTGTTCTGCACCATAACATCACAACACTGGTTTCTAAAAAGTTGTACTGTATTTGATTTTTATCATTTAACTAAGTGTGATCCAAACTCACTGTCATAAAGTAAACCATATTTGTCAACACAGGGCAACTGTATATTGTTCAGCTATAAACTTATCATAGCTATGGTTCTTGTTACGATAAGTAAAGCAATCTAAGGTTGGGGAACTGTTTCCTCAATCCTTCTATTATGCCTTTGAACTTTAAGCCATCTAGTTAGTATTTCATCTTCCTCTGAAGCAAAGTAGGGATCATAGGTAACATACCTTTATCATTTTATCTCACTTTGCACCTTGCTCCAAAAAAGGGGCCGAGGAAGACTACACAAACTTATAATCAAACACCACTGTCACTATTATGATTCATTAAATTCTAGAACTGTTACCACATTTGAAAAATTACTCCAAAGGGGTACTCCTAATAAAAGAAGGTATAAAGCTGGATCCTTCTGAAGTTCTTCAAGATGACTAAATCGTGGTCTTTTTGGATGAAATGGAATTTCTTCAGGGGCAGATATTTCTACAGATTCTTTCTTGGTTGCATTTATTCCTAGACTCCTTTTGAACCAAACGTCATCATGCCTAGTTAATGTAAATGAAACTCAATATTGTCTGTTTTATGACATAATTGAACAGTTATTTCTCCTTAATGATTTGTTGACTTTTTGTGAATGGCTCCCTGTTGCTTTCAGCTCTATAAATATTCATTTTACATCTACATAATAATAGCAGCAAATGTGTGGGTACTTCTCTGTATTAGGTACTGTGGTAAGTGCTTTTCTGAAGGCCACAGGAGTACATGCTTATTTAAGTATTTAAATATTCCAGGGGATTTTTATTTTCAATATGTCCTGTGCTGATTCATTAGGCAAATAATCCCCTATCAACATTCAGGTTTGTATTTATTTGATTCATTTAAGCCAAGGCTTGCTTGCAAATTATATACAGATGTACAATTTTTCAAATAATTCTAACTTCAAAGTATTAGCTGCAATCTATTTGGCAAATAGAGTGTGTCAAAAGTTTGTCTTGAGAACTCTATACACTAAGTTTCAGACAAGTAAGAAGCTTCCTTGAGATTTGTGTGAGCCGAATTCAAATGTAGGTCTAGGCCTCCCCATCTACTATGTAAGTGGATAATTTTACTCTTTCTTGCCCCAAATATTAGGAGAATATTTTGTGTATCCCCTTAGGTAGATGAGAATGGATTTCTCTTCATGAGGACTACTTGGGAATGGGGGTGAAGGGTAATATTTTCACTGTCTTGTTCCAGGGAAACAGCCTTATTTGGCACTGATGATAGGAACAGACTTAATCCAAAGGGTTTTATTCATTAAAACATCAAAAAGGGATAAACATTCTCACTGTTAAGTCTCAGGTAGGAGACTGCAATTCATGGGTCATAGGATGGCTTTAGAAATGGAGACGAATAATCATGCAATAGAACCTACACACTGTGGAACCTCTGACACAAGCCCTACTCCCCACATCACTGTCCCCACGTCCATCAGGCACGGCTCATGGCCAAGGGCAAGTCCGGTACAACAAGGGCTCCCGCAGGTCCCTGATAGTCCCGGCCTCGCCATTTCTTCCTGTTTGTCTACGTGCTGACAGGAGGGATTTTCTGTTCTCTTTGTGTTTATACAGAACCTCCCATCTTGGCCCTGTGTTGCTTCATTACAGCTCACAGAGATGCTGGGCAAGAGGGGAAAACTGGCCCAGAGTCAGTTTTAAACAGTTTAAAGCAGGGACTTGTTCCTACCTTTGGACAAAGGCTGGAAAGTCAACCTGTTTCTGCTCCTCCCTTCACTTTGGGGAACAGGAAGTGCTATGGTACTATTTCATGGAAATGTTTTAAATAATTCCCAGTAAATGGACTCAGAATAATAATCTGGCTGTTCTACCTTAGCCGTGTAGATGATGCACACCCACTGCCCATTTAGGCTATATCTTGTCTGTTATTTTCATTGGTTTTTACCCCCATACAAATATCCCTCAGGAAGAAAATGAGAAAATGCGAAAGGTAAGTGTCTCTAAAGCTACAATCGCTCCCTGGGGTCCCCCTCCCCAGGTTGTACTAGAGAAAAACAATAGGACAATCTGCTCCAGCCACAGAGGGTTGGCAGATCAAAACTCAAAGGAGCCCTGAACACAAGCACATCTGCACAAATCTGCTCTGTCAGTGTCATTGTGGCCCTGTGTGAACTGTGTGAAGTAAAACAGACTCTTGGTACGAAACATAGAAGGAAGGACCAGACCTAACTCAGCGTCATGAGGCACTGGGCTCCAACCCCACACCAGCCCTGTCACCCCTCTGCATCTTTGTCCTCCCTTCCTTCCTGTGTCTAACCGATGCCTGCCTCAAGGGGATGGGGATGCCAGGCAAGAAAGGCAATAACTAATTTCCTATACTCTGCACAATTCCCCAGTGAGCAGCAGGCAGTTCACAAAAGTAATAAAGCAGTCATCAGTGCAAAGTGGCAACACAGTTCCCCGAGAGTCTTGCGGTTGCCCCTCCACCCTCTTCTTCCCTACTCACCCCTGTGGGAGTCCATCTGCAGCAGACAGTGCGAAGGCACTAGGACCAGAGAGCCCTCGCCTGCTCTGGGCTCGAGAAACAAAGCTTTCCCTCCGCCCAAGTTGAAAGAAAGAAAGGAGTCTGAGCTAATCAGAGCCCCCAAGCCTGCTGCCTGGGCTTCGTCAGTGGTGCAACTCAGCGGAGAGAACAGCAACTTCGAACTTTTCGGAGAATGAGAGAGGGAGAGAGACTGAGACAGAAACACAAAGAGAAAGAAAAAGAGAAAGAGAGGCATTAACCTGGCCAGGAGTCACACCGGTGTGTGGGGCCTGAGCTAGGAGAAGAGGGGCTGTAGTGGGGCTGTGCCTCTGGGGGTCTACAGCTATTTTTATGGGGACAATGTTGGGCTTTGTACTATTTCGCAGTGAAAGAACAGACTGCTTTCTTTATCTCTGGGATGCAAGTGCGTGGCTGAGGGCTTATAACTTTCCCACTTGTCTGAAGTCTTCACGGACGCTCTCTGGCTCTCTGATGAATTCACCAGCAGAGAAAGGGGAGCAGCCAGGTCACTGAGCATCAGTACTTCCCTCCCAGGAGCCACAGATTTGGGGACAGCCTTGGACAGAGTAGATCTGTGGGTACTGAGGCTACCACACTGCAAGGGACAGGGGTGTGCTTAATGGAAGGGCTGCCCCAGGTCTGTGTTGGCCACATGTCACCTTTCCAGGTTCCTCCGGGTCACTAAACTAGAAGATACCAAGTCCCCAGGTGCACCCTCTTAGAACTGGCTAGCGTGACCTCCAGGAATGGAGGATGGTGCCACCACTCTGCAGTGTAGTTCACAGGCAGGTGTTAGGAGAAGAAAGGAACAAGCTGAGGAAGGCCTGGCACAGACCCTCAGGAGAAGCCCCCACCCGTGGGACACAATCCGGGAGGACACCAGCCAGGTGCTACTCATTATCATCTTAAGGAAGGAGTACCCTCTCCAGTGGGCTGCCAGTCTCTCGATCTACAAAGCCCCAGTGTGTGATGACCCCGTAATTCAGAAGACCTGGCTGCCTGACTTCACACCCTTCCCCACATGTTCCTCTGAGATAGGTTTGGCCCATCCCGCTCCCCTGGCCCCTGCAGAGGGGTGGGTTTCTAGTTGCAGCTTGGTCTTTACCTGAAATTCGCCTGGGCACGTCGGTGATGGCAGGAAGCCCAGTGCCCCGCGTGGAGGACAGCGGGGTGGTGGAGTGAATGGACGGGGGCGTCATCTGGCTCAGGTAGGAAGGGTAAGACTGGTCGTAGGACCACGGCGGGGACGACTGTGCCTGCCTGGGGTCTGAGAAAGAGAAGAAAAATACAATCTTTAGCGTACCAGCCACTGCGGCCTCAGCAACATGCAACCCCCAAAGTACAAAGGGTAAAGCAGAAAAAGTGGGAACGTGCAAGGAATGACTACATCCGATCGTCTCACCCGTTTATGCCCTGGACAGCACAAAGCTTTCTAGAGTCACAAGGAAATAACAAAACAGATCACGCAGAAGGACGATTTGTCTCTCTTAGATACAAATATTTCCATTTGGAAAGTTTAACGGTCATTTAGGAAGCGATTTGCTTTGGTTATTTCTACAAAGTAAAATCTATTTATTTTCTATGTTCTCTAAAATCCCTCCAATGACCATATTTTACTAATTTTTTTAAAGTTAGAAATTAGTTTTTAAAAATTGTGGAATTTAAAAAACATGTAGACTGTGCCTTTTCCTTCTGCATATCTGTCTTTCAGACTTGCTTTTTGGTTTGACAGTGAACAATTACATGATACCAGCTCAGGCTCCCTTTTTTTCTAACATGTGGGCTGGGAGGTGGTCTAGGGACGGGAAAGGATGAGGCACCATGTAAGATGAATAGAATAAATAGAAATGCAGGAAGCGGGCTGCATAGCTTTCATACTGAAGTTAAAACAGAAAATTACTGGCATTGTACAGAAATGGACAGCCATATTGGTCTAGAAATGTTAATTTATTTTTATTTTTATTTTTTTCCATGTGTACAGGGGTAACATCATATTAAACATGTAAGGTCATATCTACGCGGGTTTGATTAAAGAAACTAACAAAGTATTCTCTAAATAATGAAAAAAAGAATAAGATAAGACTATAAGAGCAAGAAGCAATTTAAATATGTTCAGGGACCATTTTCATCTCCAGAATTAAGGATTATTTTGATGCTACATCATTGCCTTTTCTCTTTTACTTTCCTTTTTAGTTTGATTTTAGGATCCCCTATTTTTAATGTTCATACAGAGATTTCTTTAACTGAAATACCGAATAGTTTCTTTGGTGTGAAAACTATATTAGTACACAGGATCCTAATGAGATAATTAATAATGTGAAATAGGAAGTAAAGGGCTAAAGGTGTAGGGAAAGCGGGAAGGGTGGGGGAAAGGTAATAAGGGAGAGGAAAAAAATATGAGAAACTGAAAAAATAGAAATAAAGTGTTTGTAAATGGGGAGGGGAGTGGGAGGTGAAGGGAGGGCAGGGACAAGGGGAAAAAATGAGAATCAAGACCTATTATGTAAAGGCACACAATCCCAATGATGAATGTAACTGTATTGTATACCTAGATTGTACCAATAAACTCAATAAAAAAAACCCAGAAAATTACTTTCAAGAGAAAGACAAAAGTTAATTTCAAAGTCAGCTACCATTAAAAATGGAAAAACTTCATGCCATTTCAACCCTAAGCATATTAGTTTCTGACATTAAGAAAATGACCCAAAACAGGGAAATGTTTTCACTGTTATTGAAATTTGTTTTTAAAATGCCACAAGTCTAGAAGGCAGTCCAGTGTTACCTATAATAAAAATAGTGTGCCGAAAACTGTGAGGGTCAATTGCTGAGAATTAAATTGGTGTCTTTTGATGCATTTCCACGGAGTTTCCAGGAGGCAGAAACTCAAGGACAAGCAGATTTATTAAAGGGCCTTCAATCTACAAAAGAAGGTAAATTTGCTATACGTTCCCAACATGTAAAAAAAAAAAAGTACTCCCTATTTCAAACTGGTTTGCTCTTGAGGGCTAATCAGATTCATAAGCCAATTTCTTTTAAGACATGTTTCTTACATTAACTTCTACGTTTTTTATGTTAATTTTAAAAATTCACATAGATGGGGCTGTTAACAGGACAGCTTAGTATATCAGAATATGTGTGGCCCTTGGAATACTCAAAATTAGGGTCAGAATTAGTTCAGAGACTTCTACTTTCTCTGTGATCTTGGGGATTGGGGTGTTGAGACAGGTTCTCGCTGTTTTCCTTGAAACAGGTCCAGGCTCTCCTTGAACTCACTATGTAGCCCAGGCTGTCCTTACTCACAGCAGCCCTCCTACCTCAGCCTCCCAAGTGTGGGGGTTACAGGCATCATCCCCACGCCTGGCTTTCTGCGTGATCTTGGCTTAGTCACCCAGCCATACTGAGACTCCATTTCCTCATCTATAAGGGATGGTGGTCATAATATCGGAGTCACAGGGATGAGAAAATTATTACAAGGCTAATAGCGCAAGAAGTACGTGGCAAGTATTAACTCTTATCTTTAAAAAAAACAACCTTGTAGCATCCCAGAGATAGGGCCATGTTTAAAATACATCTGAACTAAAGTAACTATGTTTAGAGCAGGCTTAAAATTATCCCAGCACCCCTCACTCTCTGAAAAAGAAAAACCTGATTTTCAAAACCTATTAATGTAGTTGAACAGTCAATTCGAATTTATCACTAAAAATAAAAATGAGTATATAAGAAGATACGGGGATTTCCTGAGACCATTCCTGTATCAAAGCCTTTCAGTTTTTCTATACAGACCAAGGGATTGAATTTCAGCTATTTCTTGTTTATTTGCTCAATTTGGAAACCATTTATTTAAAGACTGTCTAAATAGGACATACAGTACTTCCTTGGGTGGAAATAATTCAATACATCTGGATATTTATCTGATGTTTACTGACATCAAACAACAAAGAGGAAAGCTTCATCCAATTCCATTTTAAAGAACATTCACCTGAGCTTGCAGATTAACTAAAAGGGTAGCACTGTAAATGGTGCACATGCACTTTTCCTGCAGAAATCTAAAGGACACTTGATTGTTAAAAGTAATGAACATTGAGCTTTATAGTTCCCAAGGCTGCGATTACAGAGGCTAGCATCATTTCAGATCTGAAAGACCGTTCCATGCTGCAGATCTGATATGGCCGTATCCCACGAATGTAGTTCACTCTGCAGAGAAACAGTAAATGGCCTTCACGTGTCAAAGACTTCATTCCTCACAGTACAGGGAAGCGATTTCATAAAGACAAGGCCTTCTCTCAAGTGATAGTTTCTACAGACATCAAGGGCAAGAACCACATAGCTCAGCGAGGGAGGCACACAGGACTAAAGTGGGCTTGAGTTCTAACTTCACCAGGTGACATCCTGGCAAAGTGACTTAAGCTGCATATCCATTCTCAAAGGGGACATGTTGTTCGGAGGAGGATGGAGCTCCCTGCCTGAAAATGGGGAAAAGTACAAGGAAATCTAAAGAAGAACTAAAATGATGAAAGTTGAAACATCACAAAGGAATGAGGGTGCTTAATGTGGATGTAAGATGCAGACTTCCAGCCCCTCCTGTGCAAGTGGCAGCTCACTGAGGGTGCAGCCCCCATAGTCTTCCTAGGAGAGACTCCGAGCTGCAGCCTTAGCTCTGCTGTTTATGAGCTGTGTGGCCACAGCCGGGTTAGCTAACCTTGGACCTCCCTTTCCTCCTCTCTAACGCAAGGCCACACAACTCTACAGTGAACAAGGGGACGAGGCACACTGAACAACAGCTCCTGTAGGCCCACAAATCACCTACACACCTGGGGCTTCAGTGGCTCATGGGCAAAATGAGAATCATGATGCTCATTAGGTTTTCCTGAGCATTGCTTCAACTGAGCAATATCTGATAAGGGAAGCTAGCCCTCTTGGTACATACAAGGTCGATAATAAATAAAAGTCTGAACTGCAAAATGAGTACAGCAGCAACCACTGTGGTATTTGGGAAATGAGGTGAACTAATATAAGCTAATATATGAAAAGGCATTTTCACAGCTATACAGTACTATTATTCAAAAAGAATAAAAATACGCCTCTAACTTATCTAAGGTAGCTGGGTATCTGGTATTATTCTTAAAGATTTCTAAGATCAGCCTCAGTTTTATTAAGTATAAGGCCTTGTACATAATAGGTACTCAATACACAGCTCCTGAATGAACCTCCAGGGTGGCCTGGTGAGTAATGGAATATTAAAATGAGATCACAATTAGTCACTCTCTAATTTTCTCTTGGGAGAAAACAAAGGAGTTTTATCAGTGAGGTTTTAGGTTTTACATAAACTTCCTGACTGCCACAATATATACTAGAACAGTCTATTAAAGATAGCTTTGTAGGGCCAGGGATTTAGTACAAGGACTGGAGTTCGATCCCCAGTACCAAAAAGAAAAAACTAGCTTTGCTTTTAATGGAGGCCTTTCCTGAAGCTATCCAGGATTAGAAAAAAATTTCTTCTCACTATCCCTAAACAAGTGCAAAAACTTCTTTCTTTCTTTTTTTGTTTTTTGTTTGTTTGTTTGTTTGTTTGTTTTGTGTTTTGATTTGTTTTATTTTTTGTCTCTCAGAGGATGGGCTACAGTCCAGCCAATCTGTTTCAAGGTCACTGTGCTGAGACTGTGTGATAGTGACATACTCAGAGTTACTAAAGAAAAATGAAATCTAAGAACTGCTATATGGAATTCACTAGTTTGGGACAGGTGGTTTTAAAAAGGGAGCCATAGCCAGGAGAGGTAAGGTGGATATGGCAGGGCACACCTATAATCCCAGCACTCTGGGAGGCTGAGACAGGAGGATGGACAGTTTGAGCCCAGCCTGGGAAACTTAACAAAATAAAAAGAGCTCAGTGTGAAGGCATGACCTTAGTCATGTTCTCCCTCAGTCTTGGTTTCTTTCCTCCAAGAAGGTAAAACCCTCAACATTTTTGTGTATTTTCAAATAATCTCCACTCTCAGTGTTTTAGTGGGGAAAAATGGGTTGTGCAATATCTTGACTTCCTAAACAAATGCTCACTCACCAAGAAAACAAACTACCACAAATATACAATTACAGCCTATTTGCTTTCTTGTGGACAATTATTAATGCTTGCCGCAGAGAAAAGTCACCTTAACCTGATCTCAGGAAGGATTTCTGCACTCAACTTCCTGAAGAAACCCGAGACTTCTGAGATTCATGCCCAACTTGGATGAGTCAGAGCAGGTGATGGATGTGTTTTTTGACAGCACC